GATCAAAACCTCGTGCACCCGGTGAGGCGGCGAATTCGATTTAAGGAAACCGTGTAAACACGGGCCTTCAGTTTGGTTTGATATTCTTTGATTCTCCATTATTTTATCCCACACAAAATTGATAACTCAATCATTGGACATATATGCATTAACCATATTAAAAGTGTTTACGTCCAAAATTGATTGGAACTAGGCCATAACACATACGCTTGTAACGTTTGTTGCTAAACCTCTACATGCGCATGGTTCAGCTTGTTCAACGAAAGAATTTTAGGATTGTAGACAACGTGTATTCAAATAATTCTTAGTCATATATGATAGATGAAAATATTTTATGCCTATGGTGTATGTCAAATTGAAATATATCAGTAGATACAACATTAATACTGTGCTATAAAACATGAAATCTTGTATCAAAGTTGTTGGAAATTTAGTTTAAATAAACAACCAACAAGGAAGACGGTAAAATTATACAGATTTCTAGTCTGATCTAACAAAAATTATATTCTTCTTTGTTGAAAGTGTATGAAATGCCTTGGGTGGTATCTTCAAACTTTTGTGTTTTATATTCTGATGTGATCAACTGAATCCATCTATCAATAATTACTGTCATAATCATTTTGTTGATCATAAAATTGTTCAACTGAGTTTCTCAACTGTTGCACATTCTTTTCAATTTGAAGACTACTAGCAATTTAATGTATCTTCTTTGAAAGACATTATACATGTATTTTTAAGATATCACCTTTATTCTATTTCATACATAAAGAAGCCATTGAAATTCCTCATCTTGCTGGAGATTCGTCCTGAAAATGGCCGTCTTCGTATAGTCTTCTTCTTTTGCCAACCATCCACAAATCGAATTCTTTCAGTTATCTCTATTGAAGAATTCCCTTCTTACCTTATTGTTGAAGTAAAAAATTCTGTCCATTTCTACTACATCCATTAGATTTTTCATGACATCAACTGTTATCTTCCGAATTATGTAGCAACATCAATTCAAAAGCCTTGTTTTTTTTCAAATAGTCCCTCAATTCTTTTTTTTTTATTCTGTAACTCTTGTACGAATATTTAAAATTGGTATATTGGAAAGTACTATAGGCCATGGTCTCATTTGTTATTCCCTTCAATGATCTTGTTTGTATTTAGAGAAAAGCCGTGATCAGAATTTTATTTTTAGCAAATTCTTCAAACTCTATGAATCTTGAACCAGGATCAATCACGATCTCTCATCTCCTTTGTGAATCTTTATCTACTGTAATCTTTCAACATCACAGTTTTCCAACTGTCTAGACTGTTGGAAATTTACTTAACATGC